CATGGCCCGACGCTGTGGTCAGCACTCAGCAGAACACCACACGAACTGTCTGTCTGTTCCATGTTATTTCTGATAAGGTCATGCAAAAGCGGAGGCAGCGGAATAAAGCTTTGATGATGAAATAATTAATAGAGGAGTGACAAGTCTGGCAACAACAATGATGATCATGAGCGGCAGAGAGCGAACTGGAAACGCGGCCATGCCTCCCGCGGCCGCATTGATCTCCACCCTCCGGCCGCCATTTTGTCCGTCGAGACCAGATCTGGGCTGCTCTACGTATACTCTCTCAGGTCTCAGCTGCACTTCTCCTCTCCAGGCTCTCGCGGTGCTGCCCATGGCCCTCGCGTCCGCGTCACCATCTCCGACTCCGTCGGCAGCCTCGATTGCTGCCGCTGCGGCCAGCTGGCCGCGGCTACTCTTGCCTCCCGCAAGGCCGCCACAGCCCCAGCCTCTGCTGGCCGTTTGTCCCGCGCTGGACTCCCGCCGAGGCCGGTTGTGGCTGCATCTCCGACGGCGCATACGGGCATGCACTCCCTGCCGAGCTCGCGGCCACTCCCGGCAGGTGTCACCGCGTTGTTCACCCTGGACGCAGCGCGTGCTGCTCCAGCTCCATGGGACCGTGTCCCCACCACAGCCGCGGCTTGGGTCTCCCCCGTACCCAGCCTCTGCTGTGCTGTTCCTGCCAGCGCCGCGCCGTCAACCCGACTGCTGATGTGGGCGAGCCGACCCCGACTCCTGCCAGCGCTGCTACGTTCCGCCATCACCCCCGACTGCTGTTGCTGAAGCGCCGTCCATGACTGCTCTTGCTGAAGCGCCATCCATGACTCCTGCTGGCTCCGCTACATCGCCCTCGACTCCTGTGGAAGTGGTGCCATCCTCGACTCCTGCCGGCACTTCGCCGGCTCTGGACACAGAGCGACCTGTTTCGTGGAGTCCCCTTACCGGCAACGAAGAAGATGAGGACGATGATGAGTTGGCTCCACGGACACCGCCACGGACTGCCAAATCCTTAATTTCGGCTGCTTGGCCGGACGTGGCGTGTGATGCGGATACGTGCTGAGGTTGGCAGAAGGTGTTACTGCGACGCAACGTGCAACGCCCGTGGTCACTTGCCCCTGCACTAGCTCCCTGTCCCGTTCCCGCTTGGCTTCATTGTAGATTTTGCAGATTCCTCCTTCCTGGACACCGTGCAGTGGATTGTTGAGAAACTTCTAGGTGTTTTTGGTGCCTTGAGAATGGTCATTGAGCATGTGAGTGCTACAATGCCTGATGTCTCCTCAGCTTTTTGGGAATCCCTACGTACTGTGTCGTCGTTGCTCTGTCTACCCGTCAGGCACCAACAAGCCCCAGCTCCTCGCAAGGTCCACGAAAAAGCCTCACCAGCTTTGTCGTGATTCATGGGCATCGATCGTTTTTGCTCCTGCGGCCTCGGCGGATATCTAGGTGCGGCCTGCCTTGAAGAGGCAGGGGCCTAGCTACTTCGCTCTGAGCTCCTTGGTATGGCTTCCTTCCGGCTTGAGGAGACGATCGAGCCTCTGTGTGAGGTCGTTGACTCCATACAAGATTGGATGATGGAGAGCTCATGGAGCGAGTTGAGGCTGCACTGGATGGGCTCTCCCCAGGGCCGCCTGTGTCGCGGACTGCTCCTGTGTTGCGCCCTTTGGTTGTGCCCGATGACAACTTTGAGGTCGAGAGGAGCAGCCGGGCTTCATGGTCATTTTCTCACCTCGTACTAGAGCGAGCTCATCGCCGTTGGCCTCTGAGGGACTGGACATTGATGTGGTTGTGACCCCGGTCGCAGATCATGTCTAAGCTTCTAGAGCTATGTGGGGGCCTGGTTTCTGCCTCTGTCCATCAAGCAACTGCAGCTAGACCCACCCTCCTCCCGAGATATCAGTTGTGGGCTCGTGTCTTTACTGCCAGTATCACCCGCTGGAGTCTAGCCAGATACTAGATGCTGAGAAGAGTGGTGATTTGGACATTGCAACTCTCGCTCGCCTAAGTCCATTAGGCATCAGGCGTCAACCAACCTACCTCTCGACATCTCTGCCTGCTTGATGGATGATCTTTAGTCTCTCGGCCCGTCCTCTTGGATTGGGTTGCCGTTGTGGGTTGGGAGGTGTCTGATGTCTTATGTCAAGGTGTTCTCGCCGGGGGTCACTTGGCGTAGTAGAAGTGTCGGGGTTTGTGGATGTTGTGTATTGAAGAGTTTGGCGGGGGCCGCCACTATTTTGTGCGGTTTCGTGCCATGTGAGTAGCATGTTCGTGCTCCATTTGTGATTTCGCCCGCCTAAGACCATTGGGCGTCAGATGTCAGCCAGCCTACCTCTTGGTGTCGTGGAGCGCAGAGTTTTAGATGTTGCTTCCCTTCTCTCGTCTGCGACCATCGAGCAGGTGATGCCTGTGAGTTGCATAACCATTAAGTCAAGTGTGTTCGCAACTACTCCAAATCCGGATGCTCTCTTCGTGAAGGAACTTTCTGACTTGCTCATCAGCATGGAGGTTGCTAGACCTGGTTTGGGCAAGTCAATTGCTTGACTCCTAATGGGGACGGAAATAAGGAGCAAACAAAAGAAATGGGCAAAGGCAAGAGAGGCACCATAGGCAAGGCGTCTCTGCCCGCTTGATAGATGATCTTTAGTCTCTCAGCCCGTCCTCTTGGATTGGGTTGCCATTGTAGATTGGGAGGTGCTTGATGTCTTGTATCAAGGTGTTCTCGTCAGGGGTCACTTGGTGTAGTAGCAGTGTCGGGGTATGTGTATGCTGTGTATTCGAAGAGTTTAGCGGTGGGTACCTGTGTGGTGTGGCGTTTCTTGCCATGTGAGTAGTCCGCCCGTGCTCCGTTTGTGTTGGTTTTTGCCTGCCTAAGTCCATTGGGCGTCGGACATCAGGCAACCTCCCTCTCGGTGTCGTGGAGTGTGGAGTTTTAGATGTTGTTGTCCTTCCCTTGTCTGTGACCATTGAGCAGATGATGCCTGCGAGTGGCATGACCATTGAGTCAAGTGTGTTGGCACCTACTCCAAATCCAGGTGCTCTCTTCGTGAAGGAACTTTGTGAATTGCTCGCTGGCATGGAGGTTGCTAGACCTGGTTTGGGCAGGTCAATTGCTTGGCTGCTGACGGGGACGACAATAAGGGGCAACCAAGAGAAAATGGGCAAAGAAAAGAGTGATGTCATAGGCAAGGCATCTCCGCCTGCTTGAGAAATGATCCTAAGTCTCTCGGATCGTCCTCTTGGATAGGGTTGTTGTTGTGGGTTGGTAGGTGCCTGGTGTCTTGTGTCAATGTGTTCTCGTCGCGGGTCACATGGCGTAGTAGCAGTGTCGGCGTTTGTGGATGATGTGTATTCAGAGAGTTTGGTGGGGTCCGCCCGTGCGGTGTGGGGTTTCTTGTTATGTGAGTAGTCCGTGCGTGCTCCGTTTGTGTTGGCTCTCGCCGGCCTATGTCCATTGGGCGTCAGATGTCAACCAACCCACCTCTTGGTGTTGTGGAGAGTGGACTTTTAGATGTTGACACCCTTCCCTCGTCTGCGACCATTGAGCAGGTGATGCTTGTGAGTGGCATGACCATTGAGTCAAGTGTGTTGGAACCTACTTCAAATCAACATGCTTTCTTAGCGAAGGAACTTTGTGACTTTCTCGCCAACATGGAGCTTGCTAGACCTGGTTTGGGTAGGTCGATTGCTTGCCTCCTGACGGGAACGACAATAAGGAGCAAAAAAAGTAAGATGGGCAAAGGCAAGAGTGGCACTATAGGCAAGGCGTCTCTGCCTATGTGATACTCCCTCCGTTCCTAAATATTTGTCTTTCTATAGATTTCAACAAGTGACTACATACGGAGCAAAATGAGTGAATCTACACTCTAAAATATGTCTATATACATCAGTATGTGGTAGTCCATTTGAAATCCTAAAAAGAAAAATATTTAGGAGCGGAGGGAGTAGATGATATTCAGTCTCTCGGTCTGTCCTCTTGGATTGGGATATTATTGTGGGTTGGGAGGTGACTGATGTCTTGTGTCAAGGTGTTCTCATTGGGGCAACTTGGCCTAGTAGCAGTGTCGGGGTTTGTGGATATGTGTATTTGGAGAGTTTGCCATGGGACGCCTGTGCGATGTGGGGTTTCTTGCCCTGTGAGTAATCCGTCCGTGCTCGGTTTATGTTAGTTTTTGCCCACGTAAGTCCATTGGGCGTTAGACGTCAGCTAGCCTACCTCTTCGTGTTGGAGCACGGAGTTTTAGATGTTGATGCCCTTCCCTCGTCTGCGACCATTGAGCAGGTGACTCCTGTGAGTGGCCTGACTATTGAGTCAAGTGTGTTGGAACCTACTTGAAATACAGATGCTCTCTTCGCGAAGGAACTTTGTGACTTGCCCCGCCAGTGTGAAGGTTTGCTAGACATAGTTTGGGCAGATCGATTGCTTGCCTCATGACGGGGACGACAATAAGGGGAAAACAAAAAAAGATGAGAAAAGGCAAGAGTGGCGCCATAGGCAAGGTGTCTCTTCCTGCCTGATGTCTTGTGTAAAGGTATTCTCGTCGGGGGTCAGTTGTCGTAGTAGCAATGTTGGCGTTTGTGGATGATGTGTGCTCATAGAGTTTGGCGGGCCCGCTTGTGCGGTGTGAGGTTTCTTTGTCATGTGAGTAGTCCTTCTGGGCTCCGTTTATGTTGGTTTTTGCCCCGCTAAGTCCATTGGGCGTCATACGTCAGCCAACCTACCTCTCGGTATCGTGGAGCGTGGAGTTTTAGATGTTGCTGCCCTTCCCTCGTCTGTGACCATCGAGCAGGTGATACATGTGAGTGGCATGACCATTAAGTCAAGTGTGTTCACACCTACTCCAAATCCAGATGCTCTCTTCGCGGAGGAACTTTGTGACTTGTTCGCCAGCGTAAAGGTTGCTAGACCTGGTTTGAGAAGGTCGATTGCTTGTCTCCTACCAGGGAAGACAATAAGGGGCAAACAAAAGAAGATGGGCAAAGGCAAGAGTGGCGCCATAGACAAGGCCTCTCTGTCTACTTGATAGATGATCTTCACTCTCTCAGCCCGTCCTCTTGGATTGGGACGTGCCTGTTGTCTTGTGTCAAGTTGTTCTGTTGGGGGTAACTTGGCGCAGTAGTAATGTCGGGGTTTGTGGATGCTGTGTATTCGAAGAGTTTGGCGGGGGCCGCCTAGCGGTGTGGTTTTTTTTCATGTAGTAGTCCGTCTATGCTCTGTTTGTGTTGGTTTCCGTCCGATTTTCCATAAATTAACTGGCAATTCTCTTCTTAGAGAAAGCTTTTGCCTCTGTTTCAAAAAAGAGAGTGAAAAATTCTAGATTATAATAGTGGTGTTGACATAAATATTACACATATAGTAGTAACATTTAGTCGACTTAGTTGTAGGTTTTAATTTCACATCTTGTAATGGTGATTGTATTTCTTCTGTACTATGCTTAATAATCAACATAATTAGATGTGTGCATTGTAATGATGCAGAGGCCAGGGGTCTCAACCTTCTTTTCGAAACAGTAATAATAGTTATACTTGAATACCGTTTTGATGCTATAACATGTCGATATAGAGCCTGAATAGAATTTTCATGCAGAATGTACATGGTTCTATATTTTGTACCTGCTTTTACAAGGATAGATGACGCGAGTCCAAGTTTAGGGCAATGGATCCTATGTCTAAACAAATATTTTGATATCTGGATGCAAAAGAAAAAAAACAACCGAGTGAAATGCGTTGAAATGCATCATTAGTTCTATTAACTCAAACTAGTTGCACACTTTAGGCTACGAACAAGAGAATATATTAAATGCATGATTCTTCATAACAAGTGATTTAGCATCCCAAGCATCGAAAAAAGTTGATTTAGCATCCAAGTGACCAGCTAGCCTTGGTTTCGCTTCTCGGGGTGTGGATTCGATTCCCCCTGAATGCATTGGTTGGTTATTTCTTTTAAATAGTGAAGTTGACACTCTTGCAAATAAAACCTTGTGAAGATTAATCAATTTGTGTGCCGAAGATACGCCAACATGGCACCGCATGGACGGGTTTTCTCTCCCGGATCAATTTTGGCCTTATTTGATTAAATAGGTTAGTTTATGGACTAAATTGATCAATTTCCTAGTTCTTGGCCTAAAGTGTGCAGATAGTTTGAGTTAATGGACTAATGACGTTAGATTCCCCTGGAATGCATCGGGTGGCACTTTTAGCGAATAGTGAAGTTGATACTCTTGCAATTAAAACCTTGTGAAGATTAATCAGTTTGTTAGCGGAAGGTACGCCAATATGGCGCCGCATGGACGGTTTTAGTCTCCCGCATCAGTGTTGACTTAAATTGATCAAATAAACAAGTTTTGGCCTAAATCGATCAATTTTTAAATTTTTGGCTTAAAGGATGCAATTAGTTCGATTTAATGGACGCGTTTCACTCAAAAAGTCCAGCTTATCATGGTTACCGAAAAGTGCTGAATGGTTGCCAGACATATGTTTTGAATGATTTTTTAATCTGAATAAAATTCATTCAATTTTTTTTTTAAAAAAACTGATCCTTTTTGCCCGGAAAAGCGATTTCTCATGGGGTACCGGAAAATGCAGTTACCTGGTGGCAACCGAATTTTGTGCTCGGTTACCAAGGGGCTGTTTGGTTTGAGCCCCAATTTGCCCCAGCAAAATTTGGCGTGACCAATGCAAGGGCATGAACAGAATTTTGGCAAGGTGTTGTTGTTTGGATTGTAACCATTGTAGCCACCAAAAAATTGGCAAGTTGTTGTTTGGATTGTGGCCATTATATCCTTCAAATTTCAGGTACTAATTTTGAAAATATTTAAATGCATCTATTATTGGAAATTAAAAAAAAATACAGATTAAAGCGTAGATGCGGTCAATGTGAAAAAAAGGTCACCAAGAGAATTACACGAGCGAGATACTACAGTTCGAAGTCGCTAATTGCGCGGCACCATGTTGCAGGTAGATTTGTAGTATTTGGTTGCTGCATGCAGTCGGCAACGAGGCAAATGCCGAGGACGGGGCGTCGATCCGTTGGCTGGGCAGCTGAGGTTGCTGCCAGCCCACCCGAGTTCAAGTCCTGGCTTAAACACGTGGTGCTCGCGGAGTTTCTTCTATAAAAAAATGCCAACGAGGGTTAGCCCTTGGGTTGGTCTCATTTTTTAACGAGGGCAAATGCCTGTGAGTAAAAAGGGTCGCTAATTAGTTACGAACCAGAATAATCAGCAGATATCCTACTACATGCACGCGGAGCCCACCAACCAACAACCAGAGTAAACAGCGCCAATATTTTGGCGAAGCATTTCGGTGCCCTCGTCTCGCCCACGAATTGGCGCGAATAACACGGACGGAAGCCGGACAAGCTGGGCGAGCCAATTCTTCGGTGCTGATCCAAACAGACACCAAATTTTTGGTAGGGTTAGCATTGGTAGAAGTCCAAACAGCCACCAAATCCTTGGCTTAAACTAAGTTAGATCGCACTAGCTGCACATGTACTGTACGCAATTAAAATATGATGGGGACATTATTTGAGATGGATTGCTTTGCAATTAGATCTTTTTCGAAAAGGAGGATTACCCCCGGCCTCTGCATCAAGAGATGCACATTTTGAGATTAGCTTTGGATCTAGAGTTCTATACATGTAAATATGGCAGTATTGTTACTGTCTAGGATGAATAAAATTATGCTAGCTCGAACATGATTGATCACAACAGCTAGCTGGACTAACTACTCAATGAATTGACCATAGGTGAAAGATTACTGTGATATGTTGAAGAGCGAGATCCATCTTACGAATGTCTCGGTAACGGCATTGTCTAGTGTTACCAAGGACTTTTGGAAGAGCACAAGGGGAATGGTGATCCGCATCGAGATCCTTGTAGTACTGGCTGCTCTCATGTTCCTTGTACTCGGTACTTTTGGGCGCTACCGTCGCCGAAGCAGAAACTGTTTCATTCAGAAAAGTGTTTTCGGCGCCTTTTCCTTGTCCTCCTCGCTGGTAACCTACACAATAGGTTCAATGCAATCCTCACCGGTGAAGGGCAGCATGTACTCTCTTTGGGCCATCGCACTCTTCCTCCTTCATGGTTGCACCGACTCCATCACAGCTCACAGTTTAAGTGACAATACACAGATCACCAAACAGTGGTACCAGGTGGTGCTCTACTATTTATATGGGCTTTTTCTGCTAATCAGTGGCATGAACGAGACAGAACCTAGAGCATGGGAGAACCCACTAGTAATTATTCTACTGGGCCTTTCTTTATACCAGTTCATGCACAGATTAGCAGCATATCACCTGGCAACCCGGTCTTGGAAGTTGAACAAAATTGTTGCTGATTATATGCATGAAGAGCACGAAATGGGCGGTGAAATTGATCCAGTCACCATGGAAGGTTGCCATTACCTGGTTGATTGGCCACTCGGAAAATCCAAGATGAATAATGAGACATATGCAACAAAAATAACAGCAGATTCCAATGAAATCATCGACATAAAGAAGATATGGTTGTGCGAGTCACTAGACACGGAGCTCAAGTATGAATGCCTTTCCTTCTCTCTGTTTCATCTGTTGAGAAGGCGTGTCTTTGGGTTTGCATGTGGCGAATCGAAGGAAAAAGCACATGACTTTGTATTCAAGGGGCTGCTCCTGGATCCGGAGGATGGATACATCAGGGTATTCAAGGTGATTGAAGCCGAATTGACCTTCATGTATGATTTCTACTTCACCAAGTATGCTGCCATTTACTATAGATCAATGGCTGCAACAATTTGGTACTTGGTTTCAGCCACCAGCATATGCCTTACAATATATGCAGTAGCTACCCGTGTGATGGATTATGACTGTTTTGAGACTGATATGGATCTTCTGTCTCTTACCATCATCAACAGCAAGGCTGATGTTATTATCACCTTAGTGATACTTGCATCCGCTGCTTTGCTTGAATTGGTACAAATATTGGTTTTCTGGACAAGTGTTTGGGGTAGAGTGTCCTTTGCATGTCAGCATGTCCGAGAAGAAGCAGCAGAAAAAAGAAGCAACAGAGGAAGGCTTAGCGGCTGTTGCATGATGATCATGATGACAGTGAAAAGTCTTCTCGCAAACATCGGCATGCGATGTGACTCAAATAAACACTACTGGCAACATGAGCTTGGGCAGTACTCACTGATTGGAGCAGTCAGCAAAAGTATTGATAGCTCTAATCCATCGGCGACCAACCAGGAAGATCCTCAGCTATCCATCATGGCCAGGATCCTTACCTCGGCAGTAGGCAGAACCGTGTATCTCCTCGACTATCTGGCCCTGAGTGTAAGAAGTCGACAAGCAATCAAGATCCGTGGTGAACAATGCAAACCTATCAAACTGCATGAACAAGTAAAGAAGGCAGTTGTGCTTTCCCTTGTGCGCAGTGAAGGAGAACTAACGAATGGCAAATCGTCGTTAGTGGTCACCAAAGAAGAATCCCTCTCATGGGCTTGTGAGTGGGACGTGCACCCGGAAACAACCTGCATTATTCTGACCTGGCACATTGCAACATGTTACTGTGAGATGGTACCATACTCAGGCGGTGGCGGAGGTGAAGAAGCAGAAATCAGGAAGTTACAGTTTGATGTTGCCACTACACTGTCGAAATACTGTGCATACTTGGTGGTCTCTGAACCAAAACTTCTTCATGGCCACCATTATGATACAGCGATGGTGTTCGATGCAGCTGCAGAAGAATCAATAAAGACCCTGCGAAGCGCAACGAACATGTACGAGGCCATGAAAACTCTGCCGGTGGCACAAGCGACAGTCTTCGAGAGGGGGGTGAAGCTGGGGAAGGAACTAGAGAGTAAGCCAGAGAGCAAACGCTGGAAGGTGTTGGCTGAATTCTGGGCCGAGATGTTGCTCTACGCCGCGCCATCAGACAATGTCAATGAACACATCGACAGGCTCACCAAAGGCGGGGAGTTCATCACCCACCTCTGGGCTTTGCTCTCTCATGCAGGCATCCTTGGCAGGAAACCCAAGCATCAAGCTGGAATCGTGTAAGCAGCTATATATACAAACCTTGGCTCCGCCTGTCTATCTTCTTCTTGGACCAATTTTAAGTAGTGGCGTAAATAATCGACTAGACTGTTTGTGCGCTCCACCGCATCCGCACCGGATATCTTCATAGTATGTTGTACTTCGGATTTGCTAATTCGCATCTAGATTAGAAATAACTATGTCGCATCTAAGTTTTCCACCATATGATTAAAGTGTTGTAATTTTTGTATAATTTTTTTAATTGTATAAATTGTCATTTTGACCATGTACGTATCGTCCCTGTTGGCTTTGTCTTCCTTACTCTTTTTATTAGGGCATTTTTAGCGTCCGAACGGGCATTCGCTTTTTTGTATGTGTCTGTATTTGTTGCTAGTAGCAAAAGGGCCCGTGTGCTGCAATGGAAGAAAAAAAAGGCATAATCTCCAATGGCAATGACTACATTTTACTGCGTCACCAAGATACACTATCACTCTCATTTTTGTGAAATCATGAACATTTTCCTACACTCGTGCACGTATCTGAAATCATGAACATTTTTCAAATCCATGAACACTTTTACAAATTTTCGAATATTTTTTAAAATCCAGAACTTTTTTTCAATTTATGAAAGGTTCATAAAATTTGCAAACATTTTTTAAACAATTTTCTTGAATCAACGAACATTTCTAGAATCAATGAATATTTTTTTGGGAAATTGGTGCAACAATTTGTCAAATTCATAAACAGTTTTTGATCTAACAAAAGAGCCTGTGCGCTGCAACCCGATTTTTTTTAATAATCTCCAATGGCCATGACCACATTTCGTTGCATCACCGAGATACACTATCACTCTCATTTTCGTTAAGTCGTGAATACCTTTTCAAAATCATGAACATTTTTTAAACTCGTGAACATATCTAAAATCGTAGACATTTTTATAGATTGTTGAACATTTTCCAAAATCATGAACATTTTATATTATTTGCAAACATTTTTTAAATTATTTTTCTTCAATATACGAACATTTCTAGAATCGACAAACATTTTTTCGGAAATAGTTTGTTGGAAGAATTTTTAAAATTCATGAACATTCTTTTAATTTAACACACATTTTCTGAAATGCATGATTCTTATTTGAATCAGCGAACATTTTATGAATCAATAAACTATTTGATAAGTCACGAACAGTTTTTGAATTTTTAGGATATTTTTCAATTCATGAATATTGTTTGAATTGGTGAAATTTTGTTCAACTTTATTAACATTTTGAATACAAAAACTTTTAAACAAATCATGAACATTTTTTGATTCCCATACTTGTTTTCAAAAATTTGAATATTTTTTGAATATGCAAACATTTTTACGAAATCACAAACATTTTCTGGGTCCGCAAACATTTATCAATTATTAACTATTTTATTTCAAAATTCCATTTTTTTAGTTCTTTCAATCTTTTGCATTCCCAAATTATTTAAATTAGAAGAAAACGAAGATGGAAGAGAAGAAGAAAAAATAAAATACGAAATTTAAGAAACAGACCGCCTGGACATGGGCCGGCCCAAATGTACGCGCTATTGCTTCTCCCAGCACGCAGAGCGCAGTATAGTAGGGTTCTACTGGGCCGGCCCAGGCATGGAGTTTCCTGTGTGAAATGTTTTTTTATCACTTACTAGCACATATGTGCGTTCCAACGGGTGAAAAAATGGCACTCATTTCACAACACCCGCTTCGCATGACACTGGACGTCACATCTATCCAACTCTGACAAATTTTCAGAAATAAGTTTACCCTCATCTCTAGCGACAATATGAAAGTAATGTTATTGTCGTGACACCTACCAAAATTTTATTAAAAGGAACAAATAAATATAGCTACATTCAAGAAAGGAGGGAAACTTTGTGAAACTTGCAAAACTTGCTACTTTTCTTGCTTTTAACAATGTTACTTGTTTGAGGTGTAGATGATATCCGGAGAACTTTTGGAGGAAGAAAAAAAATTGGTAATATAAAGTACGAAGTTAACTATATATACCGCATCATTGTATTTGGAGCAGTGAATCTGAAACTTTTTGTTCTACTGGACCTATATAAATCTCAGATTCTCTTAGACGCTGGAAAAAGAATAACAAGATTTTCAGACTAAATGTCGGGAAGTACACAATACGGCAGGTAGCAAGGATTGCTGAAGATTCTTCGTGGGTACAGTGACTCCTTTCAGGCCCGGGCCTGGGGCAGGGCGAGCGGGGCGGCCGCCCCGGGCCCCCGAACGCAAGGGCCCCCCAGGATGTGCCATCTTCTAGTGCCGGAGGAGCCAGCAAGCAGCTATGGCGTTTATTATTGCTCAATCCTTTTTCCCGTCTAACTTACTGCGGCGGCGCCATGAGAGTCGAGCGAGCGAGGGCGCACGAAAAAGAACAGAACGAAGGCTACCTACTCACATGGGCCGTAGTAGGCCTTTTCCCTTGGTCCATGGTGCACAACGGTAATTTACCTAATCTTTTTACTGGGAAAACTGGATGGGCCAGTTGACAAGCGCAGTGCTAAATATACTGTCAAGGAAAAAACACTGTGCTAGAGCTGCTGCAGAACACTATGGTACACTTCCCTTCAAAAAATAAATACCACTCCTTCTGATTCAAAATAAGTGTTGTGGTTTTAGTTCAAGTACGACACAGTTGTGCTAAAAAAACCTTAGGTATAATTTTTTTTAAACCTAGTACAACCCGCTTCTCTGTGGTCTCCTTTCTTTTATTTTGCAAAACCCAAAGATAATCTCCTTGCTTTCATCTTAGTATGTTCGATGCAGTTATTGATTTTATTCAGCACTCACACACTTTATAGTGAGTGAATTATTTTGGTTCAGTCTCAATTTATCTATAATATCGACTCTGCCACACCAATATTTCAGTTTGTCTTCCGCCACTACTCTACACTTAGCTAGTTGTACTGGATCTAGCCAAATTAGTAACTCACTTGGTCCACAACACAACGCACCAAGCTAACATCGCCCCGAGCGATGCTTCACTTGATCTCGATCACGTTCGTCAACTCTTGTGTAGTGCATTGTTTTTCCTATGCCGTTGTGTGACATCCACCAACAATGAAGATGCCCCATCAATTGCCCCCGCGCCATCACCGAGAGGCGAGATGTAGTCACTAGCTAAGAGGAGTACTTTATTTGAGTCTTAATGGGTCACACATTTGGTTAAAGGTTTTCCACCAGTGACTTTGAATATATGATTTTTAGAATTAATTTTAAGATGTATAACTTATTTAATATTGATATTGCTTTTGTCCAAGATTTAATTGTTTATTGACAACATTTTATATCTGGATTGTTAGACGATATGCTTATTGTGTCGTGACAAGTTGTAAACATTGTGTTGGGTGCGTAACGTGTTATACATGGCAGGTGGTTAGGCTAGATAGATCTTTATCTCCTTATCTTGTGTTTAGCTTGGAGTAGAGGTCAAGTCTAGCAACCACCTGCTTGTGAAGCCTATTTAACGTGAACGCGTCCCTGCCAGGAAGGCATACGCTTCCACCAATTCTTTCATGGTAATCAGAGCAGGCATCGACATCATCCATGGCAAGCTCTTCCACTTCCTTCCCATCCTCTCCATTTGTGCACGCCGCAACAGAGAAGCTTATGAGAGGGAACGAAGCCCTATGGCGCGCCACCGTTCTCTCAACGATCAGGGCGGCTCAGATGGCGGAGTTCCTCGTCGTCGAGCAGCAGGTGCCGCCCCAGACCATTGAGGTCACCGGCGCCGACGGCAAAACCAAGTCCAAGAACCCCAATCCGGAGTTCTCCACGTGGTACGCGAGGGATCAGCAGGTGTTCTCTTACCTACTGACCTCTCTTCCGCGCGAGATGGCAATTCAGGTCGCTACGTGCCACACCGCAGCAGAGCTGTGGAACACGGTGCAAGGCATGCTTGCCTCACACAGCGTGCCAGGACGGTCAACGTCCGGATCGCGCTGGCGAATCTTCAGAAGGGCAACAACAGCATCACTGATTACGTTGGTAAGATTAGAGCTTTGTGTGATGAACTAATGGCTTCAGGGAAGAAGGTCGACGAAGAAGATGTTGTTTCTCACATCCTCGCCGGACTCGACGAAGAGTTCGACCCGGTGGTCTCGGCTATGTGCTCTCGAGTCGAACCGGTCACGGTCCCGGAGCTGTACTCACAACTGCTGAGCTTTGAGACTTGCATGAGTCTGCGTGGTGGATCCTCCCAGTCATCTGCAAAGGTCGCGACTCGCGACCGCTTCAACAAGAACAACGGTGGCGGTGGCGGTGACGGCGACCGTAACTTCCCCAACAAACAGGCTAGAGGTGGTGACCGCGCCCGCGGCAACTTCCCCAAGTTGCCTAACCCACCAAACCGTGGGAACGGCGGCAAAAGCAGCAACGGTGGCGCCGGTGGGAACTACTCCAACAATCCCTCCGCCAAGCCAGCCTGCCAGATCTGCGGCAAGATAGGGCACTCGGCATGGAAGTGCGGGAAGCGCTATGACTCCTCGTATCAAGGAGGAGAGGAGCGCTCGACAAACATGGCGGCTCCTCAGTACGAAGTCGACACCAACTGGTACCTGGATAGTGGTGCAACAAACCACATCACAGGTGATCTAGAGAAGCTCACAATTCGAGATTGCTACATTGGAGATGATCAGATTCATACGGCGAGTGGATTAGGTATGACTATAGCACATATTGGTCAATCTCATATTTGCACCCCTGAATGTGATCTTCTCCTTAATGATGTTCTACATGTGCCCGAGGCAGACAAGAGTCTAATCTCTGCTAGCCGACTTGCCATTGACAACAATACATTCGTTGAAATTCACCCTTATTCTTTCTTTGTAAAGGATCGGGAATCGAAGAGGGTTCTGCTGCAAGGCAGGCGTAGGCGAGGCTTATACCTTGGCAAACACATGGAACAAGGCCCCAAGAAGCAAGTGCTAAGTGTCACTCCTTCCTCGGATAGGTGGCACCGGCGCCTAGGGCATCCTTCATCTACT